CACGCACATGTATCTGAGGAGACAGAGCCGCGCCAGCAAGCCGACGGAGACACCGCAGCAGCAAAAGGAGAGCGGGGGGAGGGGCCCTCTCTGCTGCCTTTTATGGGGCGCTTAGTATGCCGCTGCTGCTGCTGCTGCTGCTGCTGTCGCAGCAGCAGCTGCTGCTGTCTGTGCTGATGGCAGTGTCTGTGGGGGGGGGGCGCAGGCGGGTGCAGCAGCAGCTGTCTCCTTCTTCGTTGCTGTTCTTTTTCTTCTTTGATCCTCAGCAGCATCTGCTGTCTCCTCTGCTGCTGCTGCTGCTGCTGCTGCACCTGTCTCCATGCATCTGCTTTTGCTGCTGCCAGCAGCCGGTGATACCACGGCCTGAAGTGCTGCAGCTCTTCCTGCTGCAGCATCTTAGAAAGAATCAGCCGCAGCAGCAGCAACCGCAGAGACGCTGCATCCGCACCAGACATACTGCTGCTGCTGCTGCTGCTGCTGCTGCTGCTGCTGCTGCTGCTGCTGCTGGGTGCAGCAGGAGGGGCTGCTAGGTCAAGCCATAAGGTTTTTCTGTCTTTAAGGAATGGGGCGAAGGGGCCTTCGGATATCTGCTGCTTCTCTGACTCTCCCTCTTGCTGCTGCTGCTGCTGCTGCTGCTGCTGCTCTTCTTCCTCCTGCTGCTGCTGCTGCTGCTGCTGCTGCTGCTCGGGGAGGGCCAGAGAACATACGCTGCAGGTCGTAGCTGTGCTGCTGCGCACTGCTGCAGCGCGCAGCAGCAAACGCCGGTACAGACACCCCACAAACGACTCAAACTCTGTCTCCTCAACTGCCCCCAGCAGCTTGTCAGCCTAACCACACAGCAGCAGCAGCAGCAGCAGCAGCAACAGCGGCAGCAGCAGCAGCAGCAGCAGCAATAGCAGCAGCAGCAGGAGGAGCGGAGTCAACCACGCACCCCAGCACCAGCTCAGCCGCTATCTTCGCCTGTTTCTGAGGCATAGGAAGCACAGTTTGCTAGCTAGCTAGCTGGCTAGCTGGCTAGCTAGCTAGCTAGCTGGCTAGTTGGCTAGCTAGCTAGCTGGCTAGCTAGCATTTGCATTTGCATACACTGTATTCTAGCTAGCTAGCTAGGAGTC